CCCCCTCTTTCCCCCCTCTTTCCCCCCTCTATTTTTTTAGCCCTTGGTATTGCTGATACTGTAAATTAGCATACAGGCACTCTTGGTTGATATTACTAAAACATGAGACAGGCACATGCTGCAAACTCTATTTCTCATTCTCTACTGATTCTTTTTCAAATTTTTTTTCTTTGATACACTACTACCTATATTCTTCCATTTTTTAGCTCAATTTAAATTGAATGTGCCTTATGAGTACTAATAAGTAATGGAGACAACTGGACAGCCAGGTGTTTGCAGCTGCGGAAACTGAGCATTTAGTGAGAATGTGTAATTGTGGTACATGCAGACTGTCTTTATATATTACTGGAATAATAAACCTTCCTCTTTCTAAATTTTATTTTTAATGCTAGAATGGTCTTGGCACAGAAATACAGACGAGCTTTTAGCTTTGAAATTATAAATTCATTTGCATATAATGTGTTGAGTTACATATGTAAAAAGTTAATAAAACTGTGAGAGAATAAGATTTTTCTAACGCTTTCTTCAGCATCAAAAATCACATAAAAGGCATGAACCATTAAGTAATAATAGAGTACTGGAGGAGTTTCTTTCACTGCAGCAGGCTGAGGTGTATTTTAAACTATATATGCAAAGGTTTTTTTGTGAGTTTTTTCCTCATATCCATAGTAAAGCTTCTTTACCTGCAAAAATAATCTGATTTTATTTGAAGAAAATAATCTGTGCTTCACGAGGTGCCTGCCTACTGAGCTCTAAGGTGATTGCTTACGTGCTCACAAAGATGCACCTGTGTGGAAGACTTGACCATCTCTCTTGAAAATTATTTGTTTGTACTAAGTTTTGTGAAGTCTTGCGTTATTTTTCTCTAGTAGTAGCACCTTCTGTTGATAGCTGGCTTCAGATGTATTCAGTGCAAAAAATGCATCTGTGTGAAGGTATTTTACATCGTACAGTACAGAAGGAAGAGTTAAGCCCAAATTTTAGTTTATAAAGGCTGGTTAAGAATATGCCAATCTAGGGTGATGATACTGGTATTTTTTCTAAACAGGCTGACAATTCATATGGATGAAGAACTTCGTGCCTTGGCTTTCAATACTCTACAAGCGTTAATGCTTGATTTTCCAGATTGGCGGGAGGATGTTCTTTCAGGATTTGTATATTTTATTGTGCGAGAAGTGACTGATGTCCACCCAACGCTTCTTGACAATGCAGTCAAAATGTTAGTGCAGCTCATAAATCAGTGGAAACAAGCAGCCCAAATGCACAATAAAAACCAAGATTCTCAGGTATTTCTAAATAAGATGTTTTTGATGATAAAACATAGTTTGAATCCATATCCAGTTTATTATTAGCTTTATTAGTTTTATTAAGTAATAAAAATTCAGCTTACTTTCTCACAATGCTTGGAGACCTATTTTTTAAAACAACGTTTTTGCCAAAAATTTATCTGATAATATTATCAAGTAACTCATGGCCACATTTTTGCTTAGATCAAATTCATCATGCGTATCTGGAACTATATTAAGTAGGGATGATTAAACAGTAGAAGTAGAAGAAATCTCCATTTTTTTACTAGCAAATAGAAATGGTTCAAACTATTTAATTTTATACAATTCTGTATGTAGTAGTATTACATATTTATTTTTAATGTTGCCCTCACTCTATCGTCCTTGTGCGAAAGTGAAATAAGAAAGACTTTCTTGTGATTTTTTTTTTTTTTTTGTTTACGGAATTCAGAGACATACTAGAAAAAGAAGGTAGCTGATACTATGCCATTCTCACAATACAGAATTTGACTAGTAGCCAAACAAGATCTAAATACCTTATGATTAATTCTGCCATTGCCAATAATGGAATTATAGCTTGGTTGTGTTTACTTTTTTTCTTAATTTGCTTAAATTCTGCAATCTTTTTCTTAGCGTGGTGTATCCAATGGGGCCGCCCATACCCTTCCTCTGGAGAGGACCCTTTATTCCAGTGTGTTTCACGTGGTAGAAGGCTTCGCTTTGGTCATTCTCTGCAGCACAAGGCCTGCCACCAGGAGATTAGCTGTCAGCGTTCTCAGAGAAATAAGGGCCTTGTTCACACTTCTAGAAATTTCAAAGGTAAAAGTTGATAATACATTCTTGTGACTGCTTAATGAAACTGCTTTTATCTTTACTTTCTTTGAGCTTTTCATGCTTTTCCTTTTGTCTTTTTTAGAGTGATGATGAGTTGGCTATAGATGTAATGGACAGACTAAGTGCTACTATCCTGGAGAGTTTCATACATCTTACTGGAGCTGACCAGGTAGGAGAGTTTTTATGTTAAGTTGGATGAGGTAATATAAAGTGATTCTGCAAAACTCTCCCAAATAACTTGTGTGTATTTTAAATAATCGTGTCACTATGTTCATGCTAACTTTATCAGCAATTTTTCACCTTATAAAAACAAACCAAGTGACACGGCACAACCCTCCACCCCAGAACCAACCGAAAAAACCAGCTCAAAAAACTTTAGGGATGTTGTGAGACTGATGCCACCATTGGGTGCTTTCTGGTCTATATATATATATATATGAGATATATATTTAAATGTTCACAACTTAAATTACAAATTAACAGACAGTTTAAAAAAATTTTTTTTAAAAAAAGTTATGACCGCCCTATGTACACAGACAGCTATATCTGTATCTGTTTTTTCTCATCTTGCTCATGGATTACAATTTCTTTGAAGCAAAGATTGCTGCCTTTTTCTACAACAGTACAGTGTCTTAACAGTCAGTGTATCCTTTACTGATGATGAAAGCTATAATGACGTTCAGTGAATAACAGCTAAATTCCATATTTATCATAGAATCATTTAGATATGGCCACTCTTCCCCAAGCCTGTAGCCTTGCCCAGGGTTGTTGTGGCCCAAGGGCAGGACCCAGCACTTGGCCTTATTGAAGCTCATACAGTTGGCCTCAGTCCATTGATCCAGCCTGTCCAGATCCCTCTCAAGCAGATAAACACTCCCGCCCAGCTTTGTGTTGTCCACAAAGTTACTGAGGGGGCACTCAGTCCCCTCATTCAGATCCTTGATAAAGATGTTAAATGGAACTGGCCCCAACACTGAGTCCTGGGGAACACCAGTTGTGACTAGCCACCAACTGGATTTAACTCCATTCATTACCACACTTCTGGCTTGGCCACCCAGCCAGTTTCTTAACTAGTGAAGAGTATTCTTGTCTAGGCCATGAGCAGCCATTTCTCTAGCAGAGTGCTGTGGGGAACAGTGTCAAAGGCTTTACTAAAGTCCAGGTAGACAACATGCACAGCCTTTCCCTTCTCCGCTAAGTGGGTCACCTTCTCCTAGAAGGAGATGAGGTTGGTCAGTAGGACCTGCCTCTTGTGAACCCATGCTGGCTGGGCCTGATCGCCTGGTCATCCTGTACGTGCCATGTGAGAATGCGTGAGCTGATCTGCTTGATAACCTTGTTGAGCACTGAGGTCGGTCTGACAGGCCCGTAGTTTCACAGACCCTCCTTCCAGCCCTTTTAAATAGGTGTCACATTTGCTGATCTCCAGGCATCTGGGACCTGCTTGTTTAGCCAGGACTGCTGGTAAATGACGGAAAGTGGCTTGGTGTGAGTTCTTCTGCCAGCTCCCTCAGTATCCTTGGGTGGATCCCATCTGGCCTGACAGACTTGTGTGTGTCTAAATGGAGTAGCAGGTCACTAACCGTTTCCTCTTGCATTATGAGGGCCTCATTCTATTCCCCATCCTTGTCTTCCGGCTCAGGGGGTTGAGCACCCTGACAACAACTGGTCTTACTGTGAAAGACTGAGGCAAAGAAGACGTTAAGTACCTCAGCCTTTTCCTCATCCTTTGTCACAATGTTTTCCTCTGCATCCAGAAAGGGATGGAGATTCTCCTTAGCTCTCCTTTTGTTGCTGAAGTATTTATAGAAACATTTTTTATTGTCTTAACTGCAGTAGCCAGATTAAGTTCTAGTGGGGCCTTGGTCTTTCTAATTTTCTCCCAGAATAACGTCTTTGCAGTCCCCCTGAATTGTCTACCTGTTTTTTCAAAGGTCATAAACTTTTCTTCTTTCCCCTCGCCCCCTCAGTTCAGCCAGATCTCTCTGTTCATCCAGGCTGGTCTTCTTCCCTGTAGGCTTGTCTTTCAGCAGTGGAAACAAGCAGCTCCTGCACCTTTTCAGATATCCTTCTTGAGGAGTGTCGAGCCTTCCTGGATTCCTTTGCCCTTCAGGACTGCCTCCTAAGGGCTCTGTACAGTCTTCAAAACAGAGGGCATGGGGGGTTTGTGTGTGTCATTAACTTGAAGCACCAAGGAGTAGCTCATGTGATTTTTAGGTTTAGGAAACAAGTTGGAATTCACTAGTAAGGCCATTAGAGTTCAGAATCTTTTGGAAGACAAGGGATTTTTTCTAGAAGTTACAGTTTCCTAATATCCAGTTCCTTCCTAAACTGCATGTTTATAAAACTGTCCACTCTAGGATCTTCTATAAAAAAACCATAAGTTATGTGTTTTATCTATTCCAGATACTCTTTTGATACTGATACTTTATTTGATATTCAGCAATTAAGAAATTGTGACTTAATATACATGGGTATTAAATATTGCCTTGTTCTCTTTTTTTATGCACACAGACTACTTTACTGTACTGTCCCAGTTCAATAGATTTACAGTCTCTGGCTGACTGGAATTCTTCCCCCATCAGCCACCAGTTTGATGTGGTCAGTCCGTCACATATATGGATATTTGCACATGTGACTCAAGGCCAAGATCCATGGATTATAAGCCTCTCAAGTTTTATGAAACAGGAAAATCTTCCAAAACACTGCCCAACAGCTGTAAGCTATGCTTGGACATTTGCTTATACCAGACTCCAGCTGCTGTCTCCACAAGTGGATATAAAGTAAGTTAATTTCTAAAGTAAATACCATATGTTATGTTGAGTATTTGTTCAAGATTTATCATCATTATAAAGTCATTGTGTTTCAGTGAGGTGACATATGGACTGTTAATATTTTCTGTGGCTTTAGTTCAGCTTTATATAACAAAACTAAGCCAGTTCTTTCCTGGGAAAAGAAGTTATCTGCAGTAAAGATTAATTAATTCATGCCTTCGGCCATACCATAGTTCAACAGATTTGACAACAAATGCACATGTTATGGATGTTTAGGTATATTCTGAAAAATTTATTCAGAGTTTAACATGTTAACAGTTTTGAACCAGTGGCATATATATAATCAAAAAATAAGTTCAGTAGAAAATATAGTGTAACGGGGAAAGTTTTATTTACTATACTCCTTTTTATTTACTATACTGCTTTTTTATTTTTTAATAGCAGCCCTATCAATGCAAAGAAAGTGAATACTACTACAAGCAGTGACTCCTATATTGGGCTCTGGAGAAACTATCTGATTCTTTGCTGCAGTGCAGCATCTTCTTCCAACTCCTCCACCTCCACAGGCTCTGTGAGATGTTCCCCTCCTGAGACGCTGGCGTCTACTCCTGACAGTGGTTATAGCATTGATTCAAGAGTAGGTTCTTCTAATATTTACTACAAATATGTCTACATGGTATTGGAAGTAGAAACACTTGAGGCTTAGAATGACTATCAGAATTTTTAGAAGCTGGTATAATTTGTCTAAAAACATGTTTTAGTATACGTTTGTCTTTGGTTTGTTCAGAATAGCATTTCAGTTCACTTCTTCCATCTGTGCTGTAGAGGCTTTTCTGCTTATGTTTTTTTTTAAGGCAAAATCTAATTATCTTGTGAAAATGTTAACCCAGCTCTAAATCTTATCTAGTGGTAATGAGGAAATGTTTTGTTTACTATTAAAGAGTTACTTTTTTCTTGTCAGTAGATTTCTACAATTCTGAGCAAAATAGCGTCTTATTTTAGTAACCGAAGTAATGATCTATTCAGGCATGGTGTATCTTGCCATATTTTTTCCCAGATTTTCTGTCTGCCTTGCTTCATATCACCTGCAGATTTTTTTTCCCTGCTTCTTTGCTTTTTTTTGTTCTTCTCCTTTTTGATTTCCTATACAAAATACAGTTGAGATGAAAATAACTCGTGGACTGTGGAGCAGATTTTTGGCACAAGCATCCTACTTCACTTGTTTGTTTTTACTGAGATCATTTCGCCAAATCAGAGAAACTGTGGAGTGACAGTCTTTGAGAGCTGCAGCGGAGTCTTAGGAATTGGGCACCAGAAGTCTGCTTCCTCTTCCTAAGGAGGGCAGATACACTTAATATGCAAAACATCTGTTTATCATGTTGAGGCATTCATTGTCATCTGACAACAAAAATTCAGTTATGTAAGGAATGGAGAAGTGGTTAATACTACTCTAATATTTCAGAAAGTCTTTTTCCATGTCAAAGATCAAAAATTTCATTTTTATCATTTTAGATCACTGGTCATTGTGAGAAGACTGTAAAATTACGGTAGATGTTTTAATGTCACACCACCTGATTGTTTAGTAACTAGTTCATTCTGGTTTATTCTGGTTTTCTTGTCAGATCATTGGCATTCCATCCCCTTCCTCCCTGTTTAAGCACATAGTTCCAATGATGCGCTCTGAGAGCATGGAAATTACAGAATCCCTTGTTCTGGGACTTGGCAGGACCAACCCAGGAGCTTTTAGGTAAGTGCTGCGTTTCATCTCTTTTTGTGCTAATTGATTACAAAGCTGGGGAATTAGAGCTCAGAAGAAAAGATTTGCTTTTTTTTCCTTTAAATTTTTCTAAAAGATGTGAGAATTGATTGCCATTGTCTTTTCTATCATTTAGTGATGTGATAACTATTGTGAGGTGTTGAAATAATTCTGTGTAGAGGTTGTATCTAGATATCTGCCTGAAGAAGAAGTCAGTTGAAACAATATACAGCTGCCTTTTATTGATATTAAAGGCTACCCATATATGAAAGAACAGACCGTGTGGACTATTAACATTTGAAATGTTAATTATAGTCATGTTTGTGAAAGGTTACTAAACTCTCCATATTGGTGTTGCAAACAAGCATATGTTTCTGAGCTCTGTGTATAGGACTTTCATGGTGTGTTCTAAAAGAAACGTTTTGGATCAAGCTGAAATAATACCAGTTATGACTGTTTTCTGACTAGTGGTGAAGCTTCTGAAATTTGTGGCGCATTTCTCTTGCCCCTTTTCATTTTTTCTGAATAAACTTCCTGTAACTTCATAACCGATACACCTCTCATAAGTTGTACTGATGACAAGTCCATGTGGATTAGTTTGGGTGCTGGTAACTGTGATTTACAGAAGCAGAATTAAATCTGTGCCAAGTCACTTGTTCTGTCAGTTTAATTTCATACATCATGTTCAACATGTTTAGATTCAGCTCATAATACAAAACTTCTGACTGGCCTGTTGTGACATGTCTTTATGGAAGTGTCGAATTTGAAATAGTCTGCATAGCTATTGTGGCAATCCTGCCTCAACTGAAAATTTACTTTTCTTGAAATCCTAATGTACTGTACTGTCAATGTGGATTACAAATCCCATGAGGCGAAAAGGCAGAAAGCCATGAGATTTAAAATACATCTCTATGCCCCTGTCCTCAACTGACAACTTTGTTTATGGGGGGTGGATGAAGAGGAAGAACGTCTGAGGGGAAGAAAACTTCCTGGGAAGGCCATTGTTGGGCACCAGATGTTCTCTGTCAGCAGCCAACCTCCTGTGATGGAGGGTTTGGAAGCTGTGCCACGCTATTAGCAGCCAATTCTGCTTCTTCAGAAGAAATCAAGGAATGCTAACACTCTCGGATTTGAATGACATGATGCTTCACTCCAGTCACTTGTGTCCCATATTAAGATAGATGAGGAGCCAAATATGTTTTTGAAACCGTGTTGCTCAGTCTGCAGTTACAGTATTTTGTTCTACTTCTTTGATAATCTTCTAATTTTATATCATATCTGAATTTATTGCCCTACCAGGAGTAAAAGCAAGACTTTGTCCCATGATCCTGAAGATCTGCTGAACACTTTCAATCATAGTTGTGCTCTAGAAGTCTAGAAAATGCTTTCAGAAAGGAAAATCCTTCTTTTCTAAATTAGAAACAATTCTTTCAGCAAGCTTCAAAAAAAATTAGTCTCAGTCTCATCAGTCTTCTGATTTCTTTATTCTGAATTTTGTGCTTTGTTTTTCCTTTGTCCGGTGTGCATTCTCGCATGGGACTCTTAACTTGTACTCCACCCTTCACCATTGCCGCTCTGCATTGATTTGTGGTTTTGGTTTTGTTTTTTTAATCACTGTTCCTCCCTACGTGGTATGTTTTATTTGGGAACTTCTTGTATTGTAGATTATAGGTATATACAATCCACTTACTTTTGCTAGAATATATTCTTTTTCTCTTGTTTTCTATTACTGATCACATGAATTTGTGTGGGTGTCTCTTGCTCTCTACTGGAAGCTGATCCTTTTCTCTATGACAAAGCTTCTTCAAATTCTTTTGTGCTTTCTAACTTTGAAAGAAAGTATAAAACAATCCCTAGCCAGGATTAAGTCTCATGTAATTCAGTGCACTGCAAGAGTTTGTGCAGCTTTCAGATCACCTGCACTCGTTGAAGGAGAACCTTTGAATTATGTAGCAGGAGTCAGTCATTTACCATGAAAACTTGAAGTGGTTTATGCTTTTGGTATGTCTGAATTACAGCAGCACAGGATGCAGAAAAACTTGTCACGCTCCCAACAAACCTGAAGTGGAGGTGGTAGTTACTATGTTAACAAATATTAAAGTAAAACCAGTGTGGTTTTACCTTAGCATTTTGTCTGTGTAGATCCATACTACTGGCTTCCTTCCACTTTCCCTGGCTCCTTTTTTGAGTTGGAAGAGTCTTATTTTGGCAGAAGGAACTGAGTAGTAATAAAGACTGTGGAGCTTCAGAACAAATAGAGGATGTAACCACAGTGTCAAAGCATGTTACTTTTCGGTTTTCTGAGAGACTAGTCGAACTTCTGTCAGCACAGCATTACTGGCCTTAAGGAAACAATCTTCATTAAAAACTTAATGTATCGCGAGAACTGAAAGAGCATTGAATGCTAAGCTGCTAACTTTTTTTTCCTAACAGTATCTATTTGTACCATAAGGCTTTGTTAAACTCTGATTATGAAAATAAGTGAAAATCATCTGTGATAGAAATATGCTGTAATACTGGGTGAATGCAAATTTAGTGGTAATTATTGAGACTTCATTTGGTCATCTGTCTTTAAATTAGTAAAAATATCTTTCTAGAAACATTTAATGTTTATTTTTTCAGAAAGCTTCCAATAAGGAAGAAAAACCTGAAGGTGTTTTAACTTGCCTTGTAACGCTACTTGCTATGAAACATTTTTCAGTTGAGGTGTTAATTTAATGGTATTTTTTATCCTTATAACCGTTTTATTTTAATTCAGGGAACTAATAGAAGAATTACATCCTATAATTAAGGAAGCACTTGAAAGAAGGCCAGAGGTAATTAGATATTTTCCACTATATCCAGTACATAATTTTAACTGTCTTCTCACAAATAGAAGTAAATAAATGTTATGTTCTTTAACTTCTGCATCTAAAAACTGTTAGTGTACTAGAAAAAAGGTGACATGTTACTTCTTTAAATGATTGGGAGATGTTTACTTTAGAAGAGCTTTGTGTTTGTCTTGAGCTCTGTATTATTCCTGTATCAAAGAGGTTCTGTTTCAAATGATGAAAATTTTACTATAACCTTTTCCACGTTCTTTTAATTGCTTTTGCCTAAATATAGTTTTACACAGTTACTTTGTTCTGTCATCAGTGACATGCCCACAATTAGTAGTACCTAAATATGTCTTGGACTTTTGCAATAGAGACAGCATTTTTCGTTGTCTGGTTTATTAAAACTGCTAGCAATTTTGATAACTTACCTTAAAAGACTGATACCATTGATAACTGATACCAGTTTTATTACAGATATAATAATGCTTTTATATGCCAGGCTAATTTTATACTTGTTTTTATTTCCTCTGCTTCATTTGATGTTGTGTTTCCTCTGTTGAATAGAACATGAAACGACGCAGGCGTCGAGATATTTTACGAGTACAACTAGTACGAATATTTGAACTGCTGGCAGATGCTGGTGTCATTAGTCACAGGTACAGGCAGCACACATGAGATGTTATTTATACTTCTGAATTAAGTCACTAGTATTCTTCTGACCCTGAATAGCAAACATGCAAAATTCTTCAGTGAGTTTTAGTACACCACTAAATAAATAGACATGGTTTTGTAAAACTTGGAATTTTGTTGGCTTTCTAATCCCTCCCCCATGCACCTTATCACTGTGCTCTGTGTTTCATTTAAAATGCTACTGTTGCCTGGGACATCGCTTTGCGCAGGCGGCATGTTGTGTTCTTTCTTGTCTGTGTGCTCTGCAACATCGCACCAGTTACGCAAATCAGAAAATGCAAGTTACAACTATACCATAATCAGTCTGAAATTCTTCCTCACCTGGACTCCTGACACTAGTCAGCCTGTCCTATGCAGAGAGCTTGTTAATATTGGACTGCTTGTTTATGTTGGACCTTTTTCTTTCTCACGGAGGCAGAATGATAACTGGGTTGGGGTTTTCTTCGCTCAGTTTGCACTACTTTGTGTAGGGACGCTTTGAAGGCAATGGTGTATATTTTACAGGTCTCTTAGAATTATTATTTTTTTTAATGCAGGTGAAATTGTTTAAGAGCAGGTCGACTGCGACATGGTTAGACTAGATCTTCCCATTCTGTTAGACAAGGGTACTTAAACATTTATTTGTCGACCGTAGCAATATAATCAGTGTGAAATTCTCAATCTTTAAGCAAGCTGCTTCAGAATGTTGCCTCAGAAGCATTGCTAAAAACGCTTTTTTTCAGCCTGATGATTTTTCAGTTTAGTCTCCCTTCTTACCATTTAAGGTACTCACTGGTGGTTAATGTCTCCTAACCATATCTCTCTGCACCCTAGAACTTTGTCAGCTTTTCTCTCTGAGGCCAGCCTGATGCAATTAAGTGCTACCATGAACTTCCTCACTTTGCTTTTGGTGTGCAAGGCGTGCTTTTTAGTTGTCTTCTGTCCAAATGTGGAAAGGTGATGGAGGGAGTTGAGCTGAAAGGAATCACCCTTCTAACAATTGTTTTTCAAAGGAGGGAAGGTTTGAATCACATGTGGTCATTAATCTCTTCATTTAGAGTATATTACGGTTTAGGCAAATGCTAAAGCAATGAAGATAGGAAATGAATATATAAAATTAATAAATTGCTTTCATCTGCTAGTAGTCAATAGAATGTCATGAAGTACCTAGCAAGTGTCTTGACTCACTGCCAAAAATCAGTATGTAGTATAGATGTTTATAGTCTAGTAGTAATCTTTTTTTTTTTCTTCCTGCTTTACAAATTGCATGGTTTGGGCAGGTGAAGTGTTCAGTTGGATGTGGGGTTTTTTTGATTATTTTTAACAATTGTCCACAGTATAAGTACTAAGGACAAATGACTTCTGATAGCGAGGCTTGATTCTTGGTTTCTTTTCAGTGGAGCTTTTTGTTTAGCACTGAAACAACATTGAATTGAATATGTGCAGTGTTGAAACTGTAGATTTTTGTAAAGAGAAAAACTAAGAATTTTTTTTCAAAAATCATTGTATATGCTTATTATATGATCTGATTTTTTTTTTAATTTTATTTTTAAGTGCAAGTGGTGGCCTTGATAATGAAACTCATTCCCTCAACAACACTTTACTTGAGTATGTTGATTTAACAAGACAGCTTCTAGAAGCAGAAAATGAAAAGGATTCTGATACATTGAAAGATATCCGATGCCATTTTAGTGCCTTAGTGGCAAATATCATTCAAAATGTTCCAGGTATGTAAAAATGCCTTTATTAACTTCTGATGACTGTATTTAATATGCAATACATTAAAAAAAACAACTCAGACCAACCGAACAAAACCTAAACAAAAATTATTTTTATGAAAATACTCTGAACTTCGGAGAAAAAGTGGATTTATCTCATCAGTTTTAAATATAACTTTAGCAGAATGAGTTTCTAAGAAGGTTTTTTGGTACTATTTGGAAGTGTACGAGTAATTTTCTTATTTAGCAAAAGTTTTGTTGGTTGGCAACAAAATTCTCTAGACTAATAAATAGCTTATTCTTGTACACTAGAGACATTAAACAGGACAATAGTAAACAGACATCCAGCTAATATGATGATGAATTTTTTTTCTTTTATGATCATTGCTTAGATTTGTTTCTGTTTGTTTTACCTACTTTATTTTAAAGAATGACAAGAGGAGTGTGTCTAACTGTGCTTCTCTTACAGTACACCAGAGAAGAAGTGTCTTTCCACAGCAGAGTCTACGCCACAGTCTGTTTATGTTGTTCAGTCATTGGGCAGGTCCTTTTAGTATCATGTTTACTCCCCTGGACAGATACAGTGATAGGAACATGCGAATAAACAGACACCAATACTGTGCATTAAAGGTACTTTAGCACTTTTTGAATTTTGGAAGTAGGTTGTTCAGCTGACTTTTCTGCTGCAAATTTAACGTTTGGGCTTTTTGGTTGTGATTTTCGCACCCTTATTGCTATTCATGACGTAATTATTTTCTCTTCTGCCTATATGTGTATTCATGAAAGTTTGTATTTTTCCATGCTATAAACCATTGCACTTGCTGTAGGAATTTCCTAAAATTACTACTCAATATTCACTTCCTGTGACTTTAGTCCTGAGTTGCCTGAGGAGAAAGGCTTTCATGTAAAACTGCATTAACAATAAAACTGATAGATTAGCTCTTGCATATGTTAGCATTTCAGTATTGATAATTCCTTGTATTTGGGAGTTCAGAAAAACATGACTTGATTTTTTTCTTGAACAAGATATCAAACAGTTTAGTATTAGCCTTGATCTTCCTCCCTTAACTGAATATGAGTTACTTTTCTAATGCTTTAATGGACTTGGTAAAAGCACTTCCTATGTCTGAATTATTAAACTGTAGTGTTTTTCAATTACTTTCTAAAGGCCATGTCTGCTGTACTGTGTTGTGGCCCTGTTGCAGATAACGTCGGGCTCTCATCTGACGGCTATTTGTACAAATGGCTGGATAATATTTTGGATTCACAAGATCAAAAGGTAATAGGGGCAATGTCAACATTGTTTTGCAACTGTTGGTGACCTCGACATACGCTTTCAAGAGTTTTGTGGTCAGATTGGCCTAAATGCTATAGAGTGGCTTAAGCTCAAAACTGTTTTAGTAGTGCATGTTTTTGCACTGTCCTTAATGGGTACATTCACCCTGTTGAGGAAGGCAGCTGCTCATCACAGTCTAAGTAAACAGGCAAAACAGCATGGAAGAGGAAAGGGCAAGAAGTGAAACACTGTGTATAGTTTATAAACTAATCAGCTAGGTTAAGTTGTAGTAATAAACAGCTCTTTTAGAAATTTAAAGATGAGATTTTGAACATGAACTCTTGTGAAACTGTAGAGTCCATCAGGAGTTACAAAGAGCAACCTTTACATCTAAATGATAAGGCAAGTTTTAGATTTCAAAGACAGAGCCTCCACTGCTCTAACACTATGGCTACATAATAATATAGCTCCGGTGGTCTGCTTTGATTCAAGAGAATGTGCAAGTCTCCCGATAGATCTATCCCCTTTATCCCGTTGGAATTCCTGCATATATTTAAGTGCTTTTCTGTATCTGACGCTTTCAGATCTGTGTTAAGTTGTAGTAAGACAAGTGAAAATAGTAAATAGCTCAAGGTAGTCTTGTAACAGAGGAAAAAAAAATCAGTAGAGCTATCTAGTTATTTGCTTCAGGTTGAACAATCAACAGTTTGATAGAATCACCTGTCATTTTAAACTGTGGTCTCGTTGGTTTTAGATGGAACAAATTCGGTGGTTTAGAGCTGTGATTTTTTTAATTGTCTTCTTT